CGTCGTCGTCGTAGTAGTCGTAGTCGTAGTCGTAGTAGCAGCAGCAGCAGCAGCAGCAGCAGCAACAGTAGTAGTAGTAGTAGTAGTAGTAGTAGTAGTAGTAGTAGTCGTAGTAGTAGTAGTCGTAGTAGTAGTAGTAGTAGTAGCAGTAGTAGTTGTAGTAGTAGTAGTAGTAGTAGTAAGCAGCCGCAGCAGCAGCCGTAATAGGAGTAGGAGCAGCAGTGGCAGCAGCCGCAGCAGCAGCATTCGCCGGAGATGGTAGAATGACCAGCCATTATGGTAGATAATGGACAATGAGAATGTCTACTTGGTGGAGTGGAAACACAGAACTTTGCGAGGACCCCCGCCTCAGCAACAGCGTCTGATCTGGAGGTGGCGGTGGGTTTCGCACAGCGCAAAAGGCCCCGCGAAACCGGGTGAGGTTCCTCGCTGATGAGCGAGGCTTTACCGCTGGGTTCTGGTTGTGGAGTGGAAGTGCAGATGTGTTATGATGTGTTCACATGTTCGAGTGTGATGCTGGTGAACATATGGCATAGGGCCTCTGGGCCAAATGTGAATGGACTCCTCACTGATCCAGGAATTTAGTGTCCAGGCTTCCTCACTGCATGACATTCGGGCGTCCTGCGAAGGTGGGGTGGACTCTTGACAGTTCACTCTGAGCCTAGTGAATCTGCATCACCTGATCCACCATTTGGACCTCCAACTCTACACCCAACATATTTCTGGGTCACACATATTGGGCTCATTTCACTACATCAGGCTTGGATTGTGCATAACAAGCTCATCTATTTGATGTAAACATCCGCATCCGTGAGCAGGTCAATCTCTAGATCTCGCCTGCAAAGACTGGATGCAGACTATGCCATGCAGAGTCGGAAATGACTGGAAGTGGGTAATCGATTCTCAAACGCATCTCCCTGAACATAATCTCGGCATGTCTGGGCTGCAAATCGTTGTCCTGGTTCAGTTCGACACGGATCTTGGTTTGACTACTTGCTGAGCAAGGCTCGTCCAGATGCATAGCTCGGAGCAGAGGCCCAAACAGACCTCGGCCAACGGCTGAGATGTTGAACGCCTTTCCGGGTTTCTTCAACCTTGACCCTGCAAGAAGAAACACCTGCGAAACACTTTGTAAATAAAAGGGCGTTCATCGCCCGTAGCGGCCCGAGCCTCTTGGAGGAAAATGTCCTCGCAGACATCGCAGACTCCGCCTGCAGGCGCTGAGGCAGGTGCTAACAGCCCAAGGCACTGAGTCACGAGCTTATTGTAGCAGCTTTAGCGGTCCCGCCCTGTCATTGGTTGTACGAACAAGATGAAATATCGATATCGCATCTCCTCGTCAGACTCAGGTATCCAGTCATGATGCAGTTCAGATTCCCGGCCTTGCACCGGGTAGGGGCACTCACCGTTCGAGCGAAAGAACACGCCATCTACATTGCAGCCTTCAGTGGCCGGGGCGTTCCAAATTTAATTGCAGCCCCGCAGACATGTGGATTCAACTGGTGTGCGCTCTTCAACGTTGGAAAGGTTGCCAGGTTGTGTCAGCCCTGTCTAGTGTTACCCATCCAAAGCCATCTAAAAACATTCGGAGAGCCTAGCACATTCTCTGAGGATCAGTTGTTGCAAGAGCCCTCCAGAGCCCTCTGAATCAGAAAAAAGAAGTGTTTCTTCTCTATGGATTTCAAATGAAGATTAGTCGACTCATTCCTTCATGACGAATCCCAACAGCAGCAATCCAACGACATTGAAAGTCGGATGCGGTTCTGTATCAGGCAAAGTTTGCACCTACACACACATCTGCACGATTCTACACGCGCTTGTAGGAATAAACCTGACCTGTGAAAGATGCATGCCAAACCTGGTGATGGAGCAGCTCAAACTGGAGGCCCAACACCAAGAGGGTCGACACGTACAACATGTTGCGCTGACAATGAAGAAAATGAAGATCTGCTCCACAAATCTGCCCTCGAAGGAATAAGCGTCAAAAGCACAAAACCTTGCCTGTGTCATTCAGATACATTGGAGGCGGGACACAGCGCATGCACCTGCAGAGTGGCAGAATGGAATCATGCTGTGGCGCAACTGTGCAGCGCGCTGAACATGGTTTCGTGATGTTTCGTGTATGGTCGGCGCAATACCGACAAACAGCTGCGAGTTGTCTCTCGTCCGTTTCAAGGTGGTCAAAGGCTTCCAGGCAGAGTTCAACATCCCAAAACAGGCTGCCACGCCTTTCGTTCCAGCTACATCGCGTTTGCCCGCCAGCTGGCGGCAGGAGGGCCTGCAGCTTGCGATGTTCCCTAAACCCGCCAAGGCAATCGCATTCGTAACCCCACTCTTGACGTGCCTCCTATCATGAGAATTCTAAAAAGTGTTCTGATCACATCCACATATTGTCTGAGAAGTCCTATCTAGAAGAACTCTGTGAAGGCTCACCTGCGCACATGTCCTCGGAGCGCGAGGCGCGGCGCAGCGGTGGACAGCGTAGATGCCAAGAGCCGAGCAGAGGTCTCGGGAATTTATGGTGTTACAGGAATGAGCTTGTCGGCTTCACGCGGGTTATGTACCGGAGCTGGATGTCTCACCTTCTAAGGCTTGCAGCTACAAGTCTGGGCATCTTCCAGCTTAATGGATTCATGACTGGCATGGTCACGTGCGAGTGTCCAGCCTTCAGTGACTACCTCCTCCTCGATCGCTCCAGGCACTTCCAGGAGGCTTTCGTTGCCGAGCGTGTCGTTCTCCACGTCCATAGCAATGAGGCAAGCACCAGGTGAATGTTACACCGAGCTGCGTAGCCAGAGCAAAGGCCGCACGGGGCAGGCGCCATGATGACTGTTCAACCTCCTTCTGCCTATGTAACCTTGCTCTGCTTCGCAAACTTCAACATCCTCTCTGACATGAGTCGATTTATAGCGGGTGTGTCCATGAAGGAGCCTGGTCTAGTTGCGTGGATGGTCCCGAACCAAAGGGGACGCTCTGTGCAATGTTTGGCTGAGTACAGGTTCCTCATTCTGTCTCCTGACTCAGCAGGCAAGCGCGCGCAGGTGTGTGGAACATTTGCTGTTCATGGGGTGCATTGCAGTATGGCCTCATCGTTTTGAACGAGTAGATGTACACCTGGACGTTGGAGCCACGTTCAAACGGAATGTCCACATCAAGCATGACAGCTTGCTCTGAGCTCGTGGCATTTGGCTGAGAAGTAATGCTTCTCTCAGCCACTGCAAAGTACGTCATGTCCGGAGACATCTGCCCAGCGGGATGCTTTGGCACAAGTGTGCGCTGTACTTCATACATGACACATCATGAAATCTACTTGCACAGTAAGCAAAATGAGTCATTGCTATGCAGCTGAGTCCATCATCCCCTTAATCCCTGCCGCACCGCTACAGCGCCGATGCCGCCGTTGTCACGACCATGAAGGAAGCGTCTTTGCCGCGTATCTCAGTGAAGTTCAGCACTGCAGCTCATGTGAGCTCGCTCTTCTACAAGCACTGCGGAACACCCCATGCCACATGCGGCCAGGGCGCGGATGTTCATGAAGCAAACTACGTGGCCGGTGATATACGCAAACTCCTGCTGTCAGGCTGTCAGGCGGCAAGGACTTACCAAAGGTCAGCCATGGTCAGCCGGAGTCCTCGTTTGAGGTCCATACTGCGTTGTTAACCCGGCTGAAGTCATAGCCTCGGCCACTGGGCCACACAAGCAAATGCTCTGCACAAAGCTTATGCTTTGTTCCTGTTCACTGCCTCGCTGCTGCAAGCACGGAACGCTGTGCTGTTTCTTGCATGCCCCAGCTTTCAGCAGAGCTTTCGATAACCACAACCCAGCTCCTTGGAACAGTGGGTGCTGAAATCTTATCTGCTGGATCTGTGCCTCGCACAGGGGCTTCATCTACAAATCAGGTCTCACATGTCAACTTCTCTGGATGTTGTCCAAGCGTTTAACCTCTCCACTTGCAGGGGCAGGGACACTCTAAGCTGCGGCCCCGACCCATGAAACGAGCTGCTCGTGTCCCTTGTCGCGGCAGCTCCCGATCCTGGTGAGACAAGCCGCCATACGAATTCGGATCCGTCTAGTGGGTAACATGCCGCCCTACATCATCCAGAGGAAAAAAAGACGGGTTCTGACATGATTTCTGCATGCTTGCCTCCAGAGGCTGGTTAAGCTCTGGAGTGCTCGGGTCGTAGAAGAAGCTGGCAGGAATCCGCCACCTTTCCCACCAGGAGGCACATAGCTAAGCCAGCCAAGAGAAACTCTACGGGTCGGTGCAACACGAGAATGCTCGTTCGGTCAGCCGTGCCTAGCTTCCTCTGCATCAATCTTGTCCTGCGCGTCGTCATCTTGGCATGACACAATCCTGGGTAAATGCCCGCAGATCAGGGGTATATATAGGGTATATATCACGGGTAGCATCATGATTGCAGACTTACGAAAGCTTCTGGGATAGCAAGAGGGTGCGCTCAGCTGCTTGTCTACATGTTTTCAAACAAGGGTATCGAGTATTGCTTACGTCCCGTGATGCTCAGCCACTGGCGATGTGCTTCGTTTCCGTCGGATGCCTTCAATGATTTCTTTGGACGCTTGCCTGCAGGCCAGTGCATCCATGACAGGCAACTTTCTTTGTGACACGATTCCAGTCTGGAGCCTGGCTCTTCCTAGCATGCTGGTTGCCAAGTATTGACAGGAGATAGTTCGACTGATGAATGCTATACAAGCCGCCAAGCACTCAAAATGGTAGCAGACCACAGCAGCATCTTTCGGAGAAAGAAGAGAGAGAAGGGAGAACAGAAAGATACAAGAGAGATACAGAGACAGAGAGAGAATGAGAGAGAGAGAGTGGAGAACAGGGAGAGAGGGAGGGAGCAATCACGGACTGGTGAGGGCATGGCCTGTTGACCATTTGTCTTCTCACCACCTGTGACAGGTGCTCATGCTAGGCTGCTAGATCGCAACAGTTCCAACCTTCTCTTCTTCTGGCATCACTCAGTGGTCACTGGACTCGCATCATTCTGCGGACTTGACAAAGCTGAATCTAAGAGGCCCGACAACTACACTGCTCGAAAAAGAACCTGCTGGAGCTGTCGGGGACTGGGTCGATGGGCAGAGCCTTCGAGGAGCTGGGGTGAGAAGTCATTTCGCTTGACGTGGACCCCAAGGCCAACCCCACCATCTTGGTCGACGTGTGCAGCTGGGAGCCGCTGCCCAAGTTTGCGCCAGGCTATTTCGACATGATCTGGGCCAGCCCAGTGTGCACCGAGTACAGCAGGGTGCCAATTCCGGAGCAAAATCAATTTACCTATGTAAGCACAGGGCCAGCCCGCGCCTTGTCAGACGGGCTGTCATCACCTCCGGCTGTCAACAGCTCAGGACTCAAAGAAGATGGCAGAACTTGAGCATTCTTATTACAAACGTTGTCCGACCCAGCTTTATTGTTGCGGTGGCACGATGGATTTGGCCGAGCTGCTTGTAAGAAAAGGCAAGAATGGCGGCTGCAAAGCACATCAAACAATCGGCGACTGGCATGGGTCCACTTGCAAATGCTGGCTTCCCGGCCGTCAGTCACGGTATCACCACCCTGGACAGGACTCTTCATCTGTGGGAAGTTTGAAGTTCAGGTGTCGGATCTTGCAAGATCCAGGGGTTGAGTGCAGGGCTTAGCGTGATTCCGAATCTGAATGATCGATGGAGATGCTCCCCGAGTTGTACTGTAGCTGCACTGGAAACTCAGAATCCCAGAATTCAATGGCTGACCGTGATGCGACAGTGTAGGTTCTGGTTTCAAGGCTGCTGTTCTAAGAGCCAAACTAGAGCACATTGAAGGCATTCTGTCGGCCCATCGAAATGCAATAGACCTATGACCAAGAGGAATCTTCCTTTTGAGCCATACCCCACGATTAGTCAAGCCTCATCTCACGGTATCTTGTGTACACAGCTCAAGAAACTGCCAGCAAGTGCTGTGGGTACTACCAAACAATAAGCTCGGCAGACTCAAGTTGCTCAGGAACCAGAGACTAGAGATCTTCCATCCCCCCAACCTTTCATACTCTAGCAGCACGCCTCTGTGGTTGCACCCAAGGCGATTGACGTCGGAGATGCCTCTCAAACGTGCTGTAGAATCACAAGAAACTTCAGCAGCAACATCAGCGCAAAAGGCACCAGGACTCGTGAAGCACCTCCAGGCCACTGAGAACTCACCAGGGGGCTGATTAGAACGGGAGACCCTGGGGCCAGAAAGAAGCCAGCGCCCTGGCACCAAGCATTACTAACGAAAGAAAATGAAAATCGAATCACGAAATGAGTGGGAGGGCTGAAAAAACACAGACAAGTAAAAGCCCACGGGATCCACCTGCTGTTTTGGCTAAGTTTGGAACGAAATGTTGCAGGTCACAAACGAAGTCTGCGAACCAATCCTGCCCTACGCACAAAAAAAAAAAAACAATCATGGCTTCAATTCAAATGTCTTGTGTCGCAACGAGCTCAGTCATGCTACGAATGATGTGAATGAGTGGTGATATAATACTGAACATGACGCAAAGCCAAATTGTGAGATTGCAGTTGTCAGCACTACAGAAGGAACACTATGAGGCTTGTTGATGAGGCCAGTTCATTCACCGATGACGGCCACTTCTCTTTCTGACAACAACTTCTGGATTACGCAGCTTACGCACTTGGAATCAATGAGACCAAAGCAGACAGTGGCATAGCAAGTGGAAGTGGAACATAAACCTTTGTAATGACAACCTTTCAGCAAGCGGCAAGCCAACCTCGCGACCCCTCCAAAACTGAGCATCACAAGAAACACACAACTGCGTCACACACTAAACTTGCCTATTGATGGGCCGCATGGGGCAAGAAGACTATGTGATAATTATGCACTTCAGGTGCAAGAGAGCACGTGCAAATTCCGCATAGGATGGAAGAAGAGACCGACATCATCCAGAACTGTCTGATCACAGCGCAGGGCTGTACCCTCGCTTGACCACAACCCGAACAAAAGCAGCACTGTTGCAAAAAAGGAACACCGCCATTCTGAAAGCCTTGCGTGGTGACCTTCCTCATCCGAAAATACCCTCAAAGTTTTGGCTGAAAATGTTGAGCCCTAAACTGTGCAGATTCGAGGTTCCGGGGAAATGTTGGTCGGAGAGGAAACAAAGCTCCAACTTGGGTCCACGCAACACTTGAGCTATGTTCCAGTCTGCCAGCATGCTCCTCTCCCTGTTCTTACCCGTTTGGTTCCGGGGTTCTGCCTCCCCAGCGCCATCGCCCTCGTGGGCCTGCATGCCATCTTCTCTGGAAAAGGAAGGCTCGTGCAAGCTGAGAACGAGCCAACAACTACCCCATATCCGCAGTTAGTGATTGTGACCGCAGTTAGTGATTGTGACGGCCAAATTTCCATGACAGTGCGTTACGTAACTTCAGCGATCCACAGCAACAGGCCAAGGGATCCGGCCAACCAAAAGTAGACAAGATGACAATGAATGCAAATCACTTGCAAGAGCTTTTGGGCAACACCGAGTTTAAGATTTCCGGATTTGAAGCAACTCCGGCCGCTGCACTGCTATTGCCACCCCTTCCATCTCCTTCCCCTTCCCCCCTCTTTCTATGACCACCCCCAGAACCCGAAATGTGGCTATTTACGGGGATTCGATTTTGGCGGTGCCGAACCAGGCCCGCCCGAAAGCTGCAAAATGTTTCTAGGCAGATTCAATTTCATTAGTGCCGAAGCGAGCGGAAATTTGGATCCATACTTCAATGCTCTGCGACACTCGGGCGCTCGACTCCCGGATGTTTAATTTAACCTGTCTATCATCATAATAAGTCTGAGCCTAAGTGCTGCACGCCCTCCGCAAAAAGGAAACATCAAGCGTCGACGACGAAAAAAACCTGCGTCATCCGGCCTCCCCTGCGGCAGCCTCCAGGGCCTCTGCGAGAGGAGCGTCTGCGGCCGCCTCCTCACAAAGAGGTAGATGAAGTTCAAAGAAACGGAGTTTGAGGATTGAAGTTTGAGGATTTCAGCCGCCAACCCGGACACGCAGAGCAACAACGAAAATGCGGATCAAAGCGTACATCCCTGGAGATGGAGGAATCGCATGGCTTCAGGGATCGAAATGCTGGCAAGCTGGAAAGTTAGGTCCTGAAAAAAAGCACCTCAAAATCCCTGAACTTGGTCGTTGCAGCCATTGTACCAAACCCCAGCCCTCGCCCTGTCAAGTCCTCGGTAGAAGGAGCTGCTGCAGGCACTTCCGCAGGCGCTTCACCAGGCGCCTCTGTCGGCACCTCTGTCGGCGCCTCTGCCGGAGGAGCCTCTGCTGGAGGTTCCGCAGGCGCCTCTGTGGCAGGCTCCTGCCAGCAGCTCAGAGCTTTTTGTAAAGATGTTTTGTGGCGCGAATCCGTTACTCCCCAAGCTGGAAAATTCAGCCAGAGCAGCTGCAGCGGGCGCCGGCTCGGCTTCCGCCGGCTCCCCGTCCATGGCCTAGCCGCAGGAGTGTGTTCTTGGGTTGTCAACTGCCTCGGATGCAAGCACGCCATCTTCGTTGGATTCAGGCTGCCTCTACAGTTCCTGAATGGTGGGTCCTCTGGGCCTGTGGACTTGTGCCGAGATTCCTGGGTTTGAGGCCTTCCGCAAATTCAGTGCTACACGGTTCATCTGACAGCTTGCCCAGCTTCCATGAAGGACGGTCTTGAAAACATACCATGTCTCAGGCCGATGAACATACAAGCTCAAGCAGCCCGAACGCCACTTCGATGGGCCATCAGAGACAAACATGTGTATCATCCCCAGTCGAAAATTTACGCATAGGCAGCTCAACAGATTTGAGCATAGCAACATCCAAGCCTTGCAGGCAACGGCACCTATCTCATTGGCACCGCAACCCTCTCCGATATTGCGTGAGTTTTGAGTTTTTGCGATGATGGCTGCTGAGCTCCTGAGGGTTTGCGGGCACAGTTTTTGCATCATGGTCATGGTGCCCAGCGCTGTTGATGGTCTTCATGTTTCCATGAGAAGCTGACTTGAGATGGCAGTTCCTCCTAGCTGTGCCAAGCCGATGCCGCATGCACAACAGCGCATGTCCTGGGACTTCACATCTAAGCTGACAGCTGGCAAGCAGCGTACAGCATACCCACTCCAAAAAGTCTTCCTTCAAGCTGGTCGGGACTGGTTCTATTTCAGCACTTTCGGCCATCATCCTGGGTGAAACGCGATGAAGTTGGTCGGGTTGCTCAAGAAGGCAAACCGTAGATTCAGTAATGATAGAAGTGGATGAAGATCACGAAAGATGAGCAACCCAGCACCTTTTCCTGCAAGGTGACTCCACAAGCCATTGATGGTTTGCAACTGCTGAATCCATTGGCAACGCTGACTTGGCAGGCTTGTTGGAATGCATTGGAATGCCACAGGAGGTTTCCGAAAGCCAGGCTTCTCCTCATACAATACTCACCTGCATTTAGCTTGGAATGGTAGCAGCCCTGATTTTCAGAATGCCCCTGAAGGGTACTACGGTGTCCTAGCCTACATCTGCAAGATCATTTTGCGCATTCTCTCAGAGCTGGTGCTGCAAGAGCTGACCTGCACGCTACATCTGCTGCTGCTGCTGCTGCTGCTGCCACATGACGGCAGCGATATCACAGAGACTGCTAGGTCCCACGAGGGTAGCCACTGCAGTTGCAGAGTGCCCCAGCGCATTTGTATCTACGCAAAGTAGGGGAGTCACTTCCGGACAACCCATCGTTCAGCCAGCGCAACGGTATAAACCTTCTTGTGGTCCCCACCCTGGCCTCCCCATTCTTCGTCTGCCTTCAGGGACAATAGCTCTACGCGAGCAAGTTGGGTGTACAGGCATTGCAAAACTGTTCAATGTCTGGTTGAATTCAGACGAGGGCCCACTTCAACAAAGGTTCCCAGCACTAGAAACAAACACTGACCCGCCAAGAAGCGCTAGAAAGACGCTGTAGACAGCCACTGAACCGTTTCTACACTGGCCTCCGCCCTGAAGTGTTCGCAGTCGATCACTTCCCGCATGTCACCTGCAAGGCACTGCAGCCCTGCAGATTGTCTTTTGAGTTGGGAATTGCCAGGACAATTCCAAAAAGGAAGCAGCCTGTGATTGAGAACGTGTGCTAGTCTAGCCTGATCCGCAACGTCTGGACCAAACGCATCATACAAAGCTGTGACAGTCTGGAGTTTCAGCTGAAAACATGCTACCATTCATTGTACCACGAAGAGCTTTCACTGCTCAGGATCTCAAAAACAGAACAATAGATGAAGTGTCTGAAAACTGTGCCGCCTCGTGCTTTCTTCGGCTTGGGGCTGCTGCTTCGGCCGCGGGGCGAGGCGCTGGGTGACTGGAGACCTGCAGCGGCTAGAGCTGCACTGCACGGCTCAGTCCCAACCCAAATGATCACTGTTGGGCTCCTGGTAGTTCCCAAAATTTCTAAATACTCATCTCAAAAGGTGGACATTGGCTTTCTGGAAGAAGGACATCATGGGTGCCCCAGCTAACGATCTTGCAAGGCTCCCTATCTATGGGCCACATACAAAAGTCCACATCTTACAACCTGCGATGTACATCTGACGATTGCAGTGAGTGCGTGCACCTCTGGAGGACGGACTCGAAGTCGCGAAACCCTCAGCTCCGGGAACGCTCCATTAAGCAGCCACTGCATGCAGTGCAAGAGGTACCCAAAAGGACACCACCACCTCCAACACCACCACCACCACCTCATTTTCATCATCATCAGCATCATCTGAAGTGATGTGCTGCTCGGATGAGACGGTAAGGGTTCAGGTTGAGCTGAAACATGGCCAGGCGTGAACAGCTGAAGTGAAAAGGCATGCAGACGTAAATCATCACCATGTTGCTCCATGGTAAGCTGGGTACTGAGAATTGTTGCTCATGGGGCATGCTCTTTGCAGGGATCAACTCCCGCAAGAATGCAGATTTCAATCAGACCGCATGCATCTACACACCGGCGTTCTTCCCTCAACTCTGGCAAGAGGTCGCTAACACTCTATGTATGCTGTGATCATGTCTCAAACATGTCGAGGCAGCTAAGCAGCACGGAAGCAGCTAAGCATGCGAGAAACAATCGTAACACAAGCCCAACATTTAACTGCAAGTCCAGATCTAGCTTGGGAATCCCAGTTTTACAGCCCCTCAAGAATCACAGAAGTGCGCATGCACGGGCTCCAGGCGAAGAACGGTGCTAGTGCCGGGCTTACCCTTGGAAAGGCGGCTCCGTCTTAACTGGCACAGACACTTACAGGCTACGCTTGGCATCCGTGGAGGGCAGTTGGAGTACGATCCCGGCCAATGACTTCGAGTTAGTTGGGGCCTCGAAGAAAAATGCCTGACCTCTCCTGCAATGACCTTGACCTACGTGACGCTTGCTTGGGCTGACTTCAACTGCCCAGCCTCTGCCCCCACAGCGGGGGAGCACACTGCACCGAACGAGGCTTTCGAAATAGCTAGCAAGGACTCAGGAGGCCTCTGTTCAACAGCATTGCGATGCTAGAGGCACTGCATGACGCTGAAATTCATGCCTGACAGACCCCCCAAAAAATCGGACGCCAGGATCGGGAAAATGTTCACGTACTAGCATGCACCCGAAGACACTTGCCCTAGATATTCTAGCAGACGAAGGTTGCCAATCAGGCTCAAAAACCGACACAGCTTGCTGCAGCACATCCCACATCTGAGTAAATGTCCATTTCAGTGGGCTGCTGACACCGTCTTGCCAGATTCCTGACAATGAGGCAAAACAAATGGTGATGCAAGGCAGGATCACGATGTCTAGAATGCACGCAGCCATACAGTCAAGAACTGCTGAGTCGCAATCCAACCGTCGTTCGCACAGGTGATTGGAACAGTGCTGTGGGAAATTCTGCCATTGCTGGCTCTGCAACATGCTGCAAGGCAACCGGAGAAGAACCCAGGCTGTCTTACTATTTCCTTGGCTCAGTCAATTGGCACGATTCTAAAGGCTGAAGTCAGCAGTGATGACAACAGCTCCTGCAACCAAGAACAATCGTCAACTAAGCATTTCCATGCCCTCAGGGCTCAGTCTCAATCCTCCTCTGAACATACCAAGACCCCCTCTCAAAGCTGCAGGCCTCTGCTGGCAGCCGGCCTGTTTTCGTTTGGGTGCTTTTTGAGAGCAACAACTGATGCCAAGAATTGTGCTTCTAGGGCATGCCAACTAAGTGTTTGAACATCCTTCTGCTTTCGCATTGAACACAGCGACAGCGGCTTGGGTTGAGGTCACCAGCAACTTCATTGGCTGGCAACATACCTGTGCAGCATAGAAAGCTGGGAGGCTTCCATATGCCACATCACCGACGCAAAGTTACAACTTGCCTGCAGAAGCCAAGCAGGAAAGCAACATGCTGACGCGTGGGCAAGCTGAGATCACTGCAGAGGTGGGAGTTGCGGCGGCGAGTCCTGCCCGTTAGGCCTTGGCTGCGTCATTGCAACATTTCGAGGACATGCATGCAAGCCAGACTTCCAGTTGCGAAGACATACAAACTGTCCAGAAACCGCGCTCGCTCGTCCCTTGCCGGTAGTTGTGCCACAAGCGCTGGGTTGTCAGAATGTCCCAAGCAGGGTGGGCATTTTCAGGGACTTCGATGGAAAACGTGGCCTCCTCGTCTGCAGTCACGGCGTCCACAGGAAGGCTTGACTTGCCAACTTTCTCCCAGTGCTGGGGAGGATGGGAAGGACATCAGCCACTCTCAAAGTGGCTTCCCTTCAGCCGCAACAGACTCCTCGAGTCGCCGCACCTTCCGTCTCATCAGCTCCTCCCTAGGTACATCAAGGACTACGAAGATAACTGTAGGGCCCATTGCACGCCTCACGATATCTCGTGTCCTCCTCTCCAGCGCCGCATGGCTCACCACCAAGTCCTTCCCGGAAAGCTCCCCACGTTCTCCTCCACTTCTTATCAGACTCATCACATCTTTCGCATCTTTCGCGATTGCTCCGTAGAAGTCCTGGAGCATCTCCTCTCCAGCTGCCTTGCTAGCCCAGTCCCCGTCAATGAAGGCACACCTCAATTTCTCGATATGCTGTGGGCATTGCTTGAGCTGCTGATCAGCTTGGTTCATTGGATCCATGCCGTACATCCAGGCATCTCCATCGAAGTGCACAAAACCATGATCACACCGAAGCTGCTCCCCCAAACTTGTTCTCCCGCTTCCCGAGGCACCGCTCAGGAAGACCAACCACCTCGTTGATCAAGGCCTGACAAGCAGCCTGCACGTGCATCGCACGGCCGCTCACCGACGGGGGCGCGAGAATGTCATCCACTGTCTGAGTGGCTTGATTGTGCACGGAGGAAACGCCAACGGGCAATACAACACATCTTATTTTCCAGTTTTCTTCAAATGATTGATATCGTCAAGTTGCTTCTTCCTTCTTTGCTGCGAGCTTGCTCCACAATGATCCACAATGACAATTTGGAGCCCTGAATTAGCCATTCTACTCAACCTAGCAAGTGCAACAAATTCCACCCTCTATGGGCCAGGCGCATGCAGGGATGCCCAGGTAGGAGGCTGACCTGCAGCCTGGCATCAGTCTGCTCCGATTCTTGACTGGACTGTGTTTCAGCAATGCCGGAGGTTCGAGATGTATAGCATTCCAGGTTTGGACAGACTGTGAAAGAAGTTGCTCCAACTGCCTGCCACTGTCGAGGACTCCGCAGGACTCCGGAGCCTGCCGAAGATGCAGTAAATTATGAATACTTCACCTCGGGCTCCAACTGTGTCCGACCGTTATCGAGAAGCAAGTGCTAAGCGGAAGGCTGTGACACTCATAATGAAGCTTTCTGAAGCAAGCGTTCGAATAGTAAACCCGGGTAAGGGCCATGGTCTGGTTTGCAATACTTCTATGCTTCAACACAAGCGAAGCACAGCAACCTGTAGGAGGCTACCCTGAGAAGAGCTTAAAGCAGGACTATACTACTGCGTGGAGAGTTTAGCCGGACTAACTGAGGGTGGGGTTCAGTTTTAACGGCACATCTGCCCCCAAAAAGCGAGAGCAGTCAGCTTCTAACAGCTAGAAGAAACCTCTAGAAGTCTCCCCCTAAACCTTCCAAGCTCTGCAGGGCGGTTTCGGCCTCCGTTTCCAGCACCGCCTTTTATTGAAGCAGCCTCAGATGGATGAACCATGTCTGAAACCCTCATCCTTCGTTCACTGAAGCTGCTTATCTCTAGTAATCTAGATGGCGAAGAACGGAATCAAAAGCTGGTACGCAGCGTCATACTCGTCACAAGCAGTTGCCATGGTCTTTGCCTTGCCAAATATCCTCCTACAAGGGCGCATATGGCCTTGCGTCCATCCCCTTCACCAAGGTCAACAGTAAGTCGATCCAATGTCATGCTGCTGTCGTAGGCACAGAACTCCAACATTCAAAACTCGTGCAGCCATGCGAGGATCACGCACACTTCAAGTGTTGAGGCTAGAGCTAAGCGGCAAACTCGAACAAGATGTAAACCCAAAACCCTGGATGAACCACCATGTCCGCATGAGAGATTAAAACAAGAGCGGTTTATAAGCCATTCTGTAACTGCCCCCATTCCATACTACTTGCTGCATGGCACCAAAAGCCATCACGTCGATCAGGACTGGGGCAGCCAAAGGCGTTTCAGGGGTCTAAGCATACTGTGAAAGGACTGCTACGGGTACAAGATAAAGGTTAATGTGAAAAGCTCCTATCGCGCGGAGGTGATTGTTCCATGAAGCTGACAAGAAGCATAGGCTGCAAAGCGTATCAAATCTCAAGTGAATCTGTCCAAAGCATAAGCTCCCATCTAAGCCTTACCTAGTCCCTCGTTCAATTTCCACGGCCCAAGGCCCCCACACTTCTCTGCCTGGGGCTGCCTGGACGGAGGCCTGCAGAGGGCATCTGGAGCTTACTGTGAAGTAGAGCCCAGGTTTTGGTCTTTGGAGTTTAGAGCTCAGACGTTCAGAGTCTGTCGTCCTGGGAGTGTACAGGGGAGGTAATTATAGGGTTTAGAGCCTGAGATTCGGGGCTTTCAAGGCTGAAGGTTGCGGTTGCTTGTTGAAGGTTGACTATGAAGCTCCATGCAGTGTTTTAGAGGGCATTTGAGTCCTGCATACTAACCAAAACCCGCAAATATTGCTACGCGAGGCAGGAAAACAGGTGATGCAAACTGCACTTGCATTCAAAAGCTGGCACATAGCTGTCTTTGCTCTGAAGTGCACCCCCATCCACCTAAACTTGTTGCCCGAAATTGATACAGTATCTTGCTTCCCTGATCTCTGCGCCCATTGTCACGGCATTTTCAAAAAAATCTCACGTCTCGCCACGGCGCACCAACTTTCGAAACAAATCTAAGCTACCAAGTTCATCCATTTTACCAAATGAGCACCTTGCCCTGAAAATTCCATGTTGAATCCTGCAGCACCGCACCTTCAGCTTTGAGATGTCAGCATTCAAAACTAGGGTCCGATTAGACTCTCTTACTACACACGAAGATGACAGGGGATCCTGGTAGTCATGCGTGGTCCACACTACAAACACCCGCTTTCTCTGTCTGCAGCACCTGGTTCCGGCCAGCGCCAGGTGCCGTCGAAGCTGGGGCTGGGCGCCAACGGGCCTCCGGCCCCTGCGGAGCGAGCCAGCTGCTCTCGAAGCATATTGGACTCATAGGATCAAGTGATATGGTTGTAATCCGGCTAGGTCGGGTCAGCTTGTCAGAGTCACCACCGGGCACCGGTTTGTCGGGGCAGTGTCACTCATGCTGGCAAATGCAAGCCATTGCGACCCGACACAAAAGTTTCGGATCCCACAGAGATCTACAGCATTCGACACAGCATAAACGAAGACAAAACTCTGCAGTCCCTGGTGTCAGCATGCGACACAAATACATAACCTTCTTTCCTCATGTGTTTAATGAACTCATGCTTCAAGAAAAGGAGTTTAAGCCAGGGACACTGCGGCAGGCATTCCTCCAGACCTTAGGTCATCGTAACACGGAGCTAGAGAGAAAGAGAGACATGGACTTGAGGTAGGCAAGTCCTACTGCTCGCAGAAACAGCATCAGCTCAGGTCTCGGCCGCACAAAGGGGAGTGACTTCGTGATCTAGAGCCTGTTATGGAGGCTAACTGTCTTCACGAGTCTTGGGATGCATCGTTCGGGGTTACCCATCCGGCAGGGGGGTGCGAGCATGCAGGGCTGCAAGTCTGCAAAGAACCTAGCCGATCTCATGTTGTAGAAGCTCGAAACTCAGTTGGGCCTCGAGGAACTCGAGCAACATGATCTGCCTCAACACCGCGCATTACGGACAGCGTAGCAGGACAAGACCCTGGCTTGATTCAAAGGAACCGCATATCTAATCTTATCTGACTGCATTTCATGCAGAAGTGGCGGCGGCGGCCTCCTTTGAGACGGTTGCCCAAGCTGTCCGAACCTGGCAACACCACAACTTTGCACCCTGCTGATGAAGACTTGCCGTTTGCCCCTCCTGCCATAGCCAGCATCCTTGAAATAGAGCGTGCAAAACGGCAACTTTGCCGGCTGGACTGCGTTGTCCACCAGTCTGTGCCTCAGCTGCTGTTAACTCTTCACTGCTATCTTCTGGACAACGTAAAATTGCATAGGAGCAATGAGTCTTTCAAGCAGATGGTCATGCTGAAATTGAAAAACAATTGGTGAATTGGTACTTGTCCACAGCTGCATGGCTCAGCGGGTGCCCGAAGCTCAGGCCATGGCGCCTCCGGCCTCCGGAGTTCGTAGATCACAGGATTTTGGGTGGTGGGCAGGTCGATGGCATCAACCACGATCCGCCCTGGGATGAGCTACCCCTCATCGCTGAAATGTCAGAACCCATCATGAGCGACCATGCAAGCTTTGCCAACACTTTGCCATCAGAGATCATCAGAGCGTTGACTTGCGGGGACCTGATGTTGTTGGGCAGTGAGGGCCGATGTCTCATGCGGGCTCACCCCAACGATTGCCCTTCAAAGTAACCAAATTAGTCTTCTAAGTCACCACCCATCCGAGCCTTCTGGCACTGAGCTGACCAAGTCCTTGTTGTGGTAAGAACTGATCCACAGTGGGGCAGTACCTGTCTTTTCCGAAAGCCAGCGGAGGCAAGGGTGGGACGCAGCTCTTGAGATGTGACGACAGGCATCCTCCTAAATCAGTCTGAACCAGGATCTGACAAAAGGCAAGGATGCAACACCTTTCCTAGCTTCCCACATGCATGCTGGGTGTCCTCGAAACCATCATGATCTAAGGGTCCGGCGAGGCTTGAAAACCACCTCCTCTGCCAGCAGCACATTGTCCTTCAAAGTGCAACTAGGTTAACCAGTAACCGATAACCCTAATAATAAGGGTACCCTTTTTCTTACTATTCAGCTTTAATAAGGAGACCCGGAAATGAAAAGGGCAAAAGGGTACTACCGGGGTACCTAGGCAAAGCCCACTGGACAAAACAAACTCTAAGCCTTTGCTACAACGTACCCCAAAGTCGTAACAATCTTCCTGTTCTGCTTGCCCACACTGGGGAAGCAGAATCCAGGAAGTCGTAGCAATCAGCGTTCTCTCTGGGGATTGCAGGGTTCAAGATGGGAATCAAAAAATAGAGGCTACACAGGGGATGTCCTCAATCACTTGAAATGTAGTACAAGTTCTGTACTGGAATTGCCGTTTCCATGAGCCAGCCGGACTTTCATTGAGTTGTAGTACAATTCTCGTACTGGAATTGCCGTTTCTATGAGCAAGCCGGATTTTCATGGAATTGTAGTACTGCTTTAGTAGTGGAATAGCTGTTTCCATGAGCAACCCAGATGCCCATTCTTTTGTTGTACAAGTTTAGTACCAGAATCGCCGTTTCCGCAAGCAAGCCGGATTTTCTTCATTCTTGTGAACTTTCCCTAATGCAAGCATTTTACTGGGGAAGAAGGCAGTTGCTATGACTTTCTCTTGATGCATTTCCCAGCAAACAGGACTTGTCGCATAATTGTTCGACATGCCTGAACCCTTTCCCTGCGGAAACGCAAAACGTTATGACTTCCGCAAATTAACTCGTAACGCGTGTTTCCTTGAAAAGGAGGTTCCCGAGCTGCAATTGTTATGACTTCAGGGTCTACCGATAACTATGCCATGCGTTTACCTCCGTCAACCACTGCACATCAATCATTCAATTTTCAGGCCTACATTCTAAATTCCCTTCAAACGTCGTGCTCATTGCCCCCAGTCCTTGTGGCTCCAGGCGCCATTGCGGGGAGCAATGCCGAGCTTCAACTCGCTCTTTCGCGTTAGGCGGATCTGGGCAATGATGCTGTCAAAGCAAAACCCATTCTGAGAGGAAAACTGTAACTCTTGACAACAAACATGACGGTGCAGTCTGCATTGCCTGCGCTAATGCTCTCCTCTTCTTGCCAAATCAGTAGCCATTCCAGTGCGATTCAAAACCCGTGGGTTCAGCTTGGGGATATTGCCTGTGAAAGCTGCGAACATGAACATCAGCGTTCCACTGCCTCTAGACATCGCTTATTATGAGCAGCCTTCGACGCCGCAGGTAGCATCTCAAAAGTTACACATCCACGTCATCTGCCTCCTTACATCGCGGAGAACCTGGAGATAGGACCATGTCCTGGCACATGCGTGAATAGATGTTGTGGTCTCCCAAATTGGACATCCAATACATGCATTCACGAACATTTGCAAGAAACCCTAGATACATGCGCAGAAAACCCACAATCGGATCCTACTTCACTTAGATCAGACTGGGAGAGGGTACGACAGCACGGCCTGAGATGGGTCACATCGGGTAGGTTGGTGGGTGAGAAAAAGAGGGGATGAATGCTGGTATCCATGAGGCATCCCCCTCTTCACCTGTTTTCCCTGAACCTGGGAGTCTGGAGACGTCTAACCGCATCAAACCTGGAACACAAAAAAAATCAAACCCACCCCAACCCCGAAAAACAGAAGTCTGCCTCCTAAACAACATACACTGTATATAGTATGTATATATATACATATATACACACAACCTCGAAAAGAAAAAGCAAGCCAAAACCCTAACCCCTAAAAGTAATAGTTCAGAACCTGAACCCTACAAGCACTGAAACCTAACCAGCCCTTTTTTATAACCCTTGAGGAGACGAAGAATACCCTCTGCTTCATGTGTCTGTTGAACAGCAATATGATGTCACTGGCCTCCATCACTGTAGCATCACTTCCCTGGACAAAAAGGAAAAGTCTGAATCACCAAGTCCATTCTTAACCCGCCCCAAACCAGGTTTGGTTATGTAAAGCCCTGTACGGATGCGCAACGAGCAGGCAGGGATGGCTCCAGCTCTGAAATAAACGCTTCAAATCCTGCTCCAGCTCTACCGTCACTGGCGCGTGGAGCATTGCCCGAACCTGTGCATCTGACACACAAGCATGATCATGCGCCCGAAAGCTGCTTTGCCACATGTAGCCTTGCAGATTTCAGACGCCAGCTGCCCAAGGCGCTTCAAAAACGCGGTGCACATTCAACGCTGCCGCCAAAGCCCTTCAGCATTCTTGGCATGTCCCGCTACAGACCCAGCGGACAGCCTGCCAGGCAGGGAAGGACCTGAAGGTGGTGCCGGCATTGATGCTTCGGATGACGGCACCTTCCATCCGGATGGAAGAAGAAATAGCTCTGTGTATTACACAAAACACAACCGATAGCAACTCCACTGTCTGCAAGATGACGATGAGCTGTGCACATGTGAGACCGTTACACATCCATTGTTTACAAGAGGTGCGGAGCGCTTGCGCCGCCACTATGAGGGTTCACATCAGCCGTTCATCGGAAATGGCTCAGCTTACAGAAGCTACCCACAGAAGTTGGAAGACGCATTCTGTGATCTGCTGTTGTACCACACCAGACTTCACATTCGTCAATTGTATTCCCGGCACGAAGAGCTGGACTGCAGGATCGTTGCCCGCAAGCATGCAGAAGTGACACTCAAATGACAATGGGTAACCTTCCGCCAATTTGACCAGATCCCAATACCTTTCAGTGCGGTATGAAGGCCTGGTTTGACGCCATTCTGCTCTGCCCGTCCTCCAGGCGTCACCGCCTGGACGATCACGGGATTGCCCTGGCAGCATGCTGAATTTGCCAACAAGACACAAAAGACCAGGATCGCCAGCGCACAGCTTCTAATGGTTTGTTTAAAACGTGACAACCGTCACGGCGGGAGATGGCCTAGAAACATAGAAGAGAGGATTCGACTCAAGAGAAAGGGGCAAACAAAATTCAACTTTGAACAATCTGTTTTGTGTCGAATGTTCCTCCTGTTTCAAGTTTCCATGATCCTTCTGCATTACATTGCATTTATTCTTTCTCGTGGTGCTGTTGCTGAGATTGTTGCACTGTCTTCCCTTGTTCTCCGTGACATGATATCAACCATTTTCTATGGTGTTGCGTCTTTCCATGCTATTGTTCATCTGAACCTGTTCTTTTCAGTCTGCGCGACGCAAAGGAGAATAATTAAGCGAATGGAAGAAGGAGAATAATTAAACGAATGGAGGAATGATGATTCACCTTCAAAATGGTGACAACTATGTCAATGATACACATGCTGTCAACGACAATAGCGAAAATCGGAGTCGTCAGAAAATTACTACTTGCGACGCAAAGTACAACAAGCAAACCAACAAGATGCAAAACTGCATGCAGCATGCATGCCTAATGCTAAATCTGCAGTGAAAAAGGTTGAGAAAGATGAGCACCCAAAGCCGAAAGGCCACAGGGCCAAGAAGCGAAGATGCCGGCAAGCCAAGAATTCAATAGCCACAAACAAAGAAGCCTTGAGGCCACCAAGCTAAAAAGGCAGAAAAGCCAGGAAAACGCGCATCCAAGAAAGGGATGCGGTTTAATTTGATTCTGGCCTGGCCACCACTGAGGTTTGCGAGGTCTGTCTGCGGGGAGTCCCCCTGCACTGCGGCAGCTGCGTACTCTTGCTCTTTAGTTGCAAAAAGCACCGGCTCTTCTTGCAAGCGAAAGCTGCGAGTCAGCATCACTGGTCCCACTGGTGTTTGTAGGCAGTTAGAGGAACTTCCCCCGGCCTGTATATATCGAAGGAAAATTCGGCGCTTGCTCAGGTTCGGATTGCCGGGCTGCGGCGCCCCCTTGCAGCGATTTATGGCAGGCGGAAGTAAGAGGGCATCCTCTCATCAGCGGTGACATGCCAGCAGGTAGCAGACCTTTCCACTTCTTTGTTAGAGCAGGGCTGTCTAGCCTAGCCTCATAGGCTGTAATCTCATCAAAGCGGCCACATATAGGCTAATTAGTGTAGAATGGCTTGACAACAAGTATTTCAGGCTGCGGCAGGTAGAGGCGCCATGGTCATGCCGTTGGGCGCGCCACCTTAGCTTATGGAGCAGTCGGTGCAGGATCGCGGGTGGGCGGAGACAACAGTCCACGTCGAATATGCTTTGGGAGGGATCGGGGCTTTTGCGGACCTCATATTTCAAAGTTCACAATGCTATGCAAATATTAAGATCTCAAGAGCCATTCGACATACTGGCAAACCACAACAAAATGAGGCACATGGCTGAACCGGAAGTCCTTTTGCGTATGACTGACCAGAAGCCTTCGTACGCTCTATACCAGGCAGCCAGCAGAGCTTGTTTCTAGGCTCGTGGCCAGGAGACCACAGCGGCGTGTCAAGGGCTGGCGATCTGCCCGGCCTTTTAAAACGAGAGTAGGAACCGTAGAGATCAGGCAATCCCCGTTTTTGTAATGCGCGGATGAGGTTTCTGGGCGGCATCTGTGCTTTCCCAGCGTTCATTCTGACCATAATTACACCACCACCTCTTCAACACTAAGCCTCACAAAGCTCCAAAGTCAGTCTGCTAGAACCCAAGCACCATCTCCCCCCAAGGCGATGGCATTGAGCTGCTGGACGCAGAGGGAGTGGCCTGCGCGGCCTGTGCCCAAGTGGGCACCTTGGACTGCTTAAAGAAGCTCGGATCTTGTGCATAGGATCTAAGGTTTTGAGATGTTTTGAGGTTTCTTCATGTACGGGCCGTAGGACTGTGACGAACATCCAAGTACCCTGGAGATATCGATTTTGCTGCAAGGGCATGACTCCATGTGAGATCATGTAAGCCCAGTAAAACAAGCACTCAGGCAGCAGCAGAAGCATCACTCAGCTGCGAGAGCATAGCTGCATGGGTGACCTTGCACAGACCACCCGGTACCAGCGATCAAGCAGCTGCTGCTGATGGCAGAGGTGTGGGCGGCACTACCAAGCACGACAATTGTGTGGTGGTCCTCCCTGTGGTTCTCCGCTGGACAACTAAATCTTGGACCTAGAGCCATCCCTGGCGGGATGCGGAACTGACTTTATTTATGGAAGGTTTACTACATGCTCAAGGATTTGGTGGCAAAAAAACTACGCAAAGGCAACGCCCCAAGATTGGGGCGGGCTGGCCACTGGTGGCATCACCGTGGCTCCTGCAGTCAGATCATGTTCCGTCCCAGGAAGACATGATGAAGAGTGCGAACGAACTTGGGTGCAAGAGCAAAAGAAAGGAAAAGATAAGCTGTGTCGTATCTGAATGGCTTGAGCTTGGCGCCTGAAACAACTCAACATCTCGCAAAGCGTGGGCTTGGTCACAAAGCTCTGCACATGCATCTTGATGCAAAAATGAATGTGCAAAGGCTAAAAAAAACATCTGTTCCGAAACCACCGAATGCACAAGCCAAAGATGCCTGTCGCCCGGTGACGCAAGGGGGCTGTTTCCATCGAGCCGCACCTCCTGCATGGATCAGGTTATGGGAAAACAAAAACTCAGCACGAAAAACTGAAACACGGCGACATTGTAGCACGGCAGGGCATAATCCCATGACAAAACCAAAACATGACAGGGCCAGGTCACTGAAAAATCTCACAACGGCGTGGCCCTTGGCACACAGGAACTGTAGACTTCAGACCACCCTGGCCCAGCGTCCGTCGGAGGTGTAAACGAGAAGCTGGTGCCGGTCCTTGGCAAAGTTGAATGGAAGCCAAGTACGCTCAAATTAAGCTAGGCAAGCTGCGTGACACAATTCATTGACTGTCCGTTTGCAAGGTATGTCTGCATGCAATGGCCAGTTTTCTGCCAAGTACGGGCTACGACTGACCTTTGCAACCAACAGAAACCGAAGGGTGTTGTGAGCCTTGTCCAGCCGAAGCTGATTGGTACAGCTTTCAAGATTCCAAAGCAGTGCGATGAACACACAGGCATATTTCTTGCTACACTACCCAAGCGTCCACGAACTGGCAAATTACCCTCACGCAGCTCGACTGAGCCCCCATCCCCTGCTCATTGCGTTTCAGCGGCAAAGCCTGCTAACCATGCTTGATTCAATCCCAAACAATCTTTGGCTTGCAGATCTTGCCTGGCGCACAAAGCCTGTGGGCTTCTGTGTTCCGAACTCGTCAATGTTGTCGTTGCTGGCCTGCGGCTCGCAGCAGCTTTCGGCGCATACCAGCCCCGGGGCTGATGTCCCTAGTTATGCTAGATGCCTGGCGTGGGGACACCGTCAAGGACATTGCTCGTGCAAGCTCAACATGAGATTCCTATTTCCTGAGCTAAATGATGTTTCGGGTGTATATACAGAAGCCTACAGGCAGCTAAGACATGGGATCGACCCCTCTCCCGCGCGTACCCATTCCTTCCACTTGGTGCTAGATTAATGGACCTGTAGTCATGTCTGAAAGCACAGATTGTACGCTGCTTGCTGTGGCTTGCAGAAATGAAAGAGAACGTACCCCGTTTCTTGTTGCACCTCAATGGGTGCTGTGGCTGTGCTGGACTCACACGACAACGCTTGTTGCGGTATCGCTTTCACTGAACATTCATGAAAACGTTGAGCCGGAAAGGAGGAAGAAGAAAGCCTTCGCACCCGTTTGCACAGGTGCTTGCACCTTTGTGTAACCTAGCTACCATCGGCACTCAGCATGGTAGCACGTGGAGTTTGTAATGGGCATGCTCATGCGGAACGTCAGGATGATGCTCTTATCATCATCAACAACAACATCTTGATGGCCCCAGCGAATGGAGAGGGAGGGCGGACGCGTAGGCTGGGTTTCAAGCCAGGGTTGCTTATTCGGGGCTACTAAAGTCAGGGACGTTGATACATCATTTCACTCAATCTTCAAGACTTCAGAGGCCAGGAGCTCGGATTCAAAAAGGGGTTTGGACACGCTCCTTCAGGCACAGGGTCGTTCAGGTTCAGGGTGGCAGGACCGGGCTACCAGTTTCACATTGGTAGCGAACCCGGCCTGTCGTTATCTACGAATCTACGGGGTCTGGATTAAATAAACAGCGGATCGTAAAGGGAGTAGCCTGAGTGAGCCATGCCGGCGGAGAGTGGAGAAGACGATGCATGGGAAGCTTCGCATCGAAACACAGGACGGGGCCTTAGCCATCTTCCATGGCAGCAGATCCCTAAGTTTCTTCTTGGGGTGACGAATGTTGATGATAATGTTTAGCGCTTCAAGTTCCTCAAAAAGCTGTGGCCAGCCAAGCACTTACAGCTTCTAGGTCAACGGGCAATTCTGCAGGTCGAAGGGTCAGCCCTTCCGCAGATTCGCAGAATCTCCCCGAAAGAACTTTGTCTACGAGATGGAGTGAAGACCTTGGTTGAATCGCTTGCTGGTTCGAGGGTCGCACGCAGTGGCCATTCCAACTGGATCCCTATTTGGGGTGGTCCATGTACACCTATAAAGTCAACCTGCTATGCCTAGCCCAAACTTGGTCACTGACATGATTAAGGCTTGTTTAAGTAAGTGAAATTTCCCAGATGAGAGTCACAAAAAAAATGTTTGCTATGAAATCTGCTGAAAGATCACGCTCTTTTTCCCTCGCAAGGTGAGGCACAGGCTTAGAGAGACTGACCACTACCTGGAAAATGAATTCAGAGATAGCGATTTTGAATTCAAGTGATTCAGCTAGGGCAGCTCACTTAGTGCTTCGACAACATGTAACTTCTGTCGCGGACTCTGCTGGGGAAACTCCGGTACCAGCTTGACTGCCACTCCGACTGCTTTTTTTTTGAGAGGCAGACGGCGCTTGCCGTGCTTTGCAGCATGGCAAGACAGGCTCTTTGATGAAGCGCAGTCATCATAGGGATGAAAATCGTCATACCAGGGAGCTTTTGCCCCCTGCTCATCGTCCAGGTAGTAGTCATGCTGCCACCATGTATCATCTGGAACTTGTACCCAGCCGGACACATACAACCACATGGCTTGCAAACACAAAGATGTGAGACCTCAATGCACAACTTGAGTCAATGAATAGTGCAGCAAAGCTGGAACTTGCAAACTTGTGACTTGACATTCTCATGGCACATAGAACCACAACCACACGCAACAGCAACCACAACAACATGCAACTGCAAGATATCAGAATGTACAATGTTTTCCCACCAGGCGCACGCGGGAGTCCTTGAACCTAAGAGCTCATGACTATGGAGCGCCCACTGCATGCAAACAAGAGTCCTTGAACCTAAAAATTCAGGACTCCATATTCTAATTATAATTAACCTGCTAAATCTTCAAATTAGCAAGCATCTCTCGAGCAATCTCCTCAGCCTGCTGGATCAGTACTTCATCAGCAGCTTGCTGGGCGCGCCGCTCTTCCTCTTCCTTGACGCGCGTCCTCTGCTGTTCCTCACCGTAGTTCTCGAGAAAAAAAGAACAGGTTCGATGGCTGCCAGGAAGTTGCTCGCGGACATCCACTTCTTAGTTGCAAAAACACATTAAAGCTTCAGGATTTTGCCGCGCTTCACGAGCTTGCAAACATCCTCCTGTCCGAAAATCTTCAACACCTTCCACAGCAGGCCAACACTTGCTCAACAGTAACACAAGGCTGCCTTTGAACAACCTGGCTGCCAACATCTGCGAACCAATCTCAAGGCTGAGGCGCAACCATCATCAATGTAA